ATAAAAAAAGGAAATAAAATAATTACTTTACATGTTGGCATATTTTAGACTCAATTTTTTTTGTTAAAAATGGTAACTTTGTGTTGTAAATTATTCCCTAAACAAAAATAACGCCAACCATCGCTGGTCGATCGATTGTAATTTGGCCAAGGTCGCGCCAACTATACTTGTGCTTCTCGATCGTTCTAGGTGTCGTCGCGCTTCGAGAATATTCCTATCGGCTTCCGAAAACTTCCATTGGGATATATAAGCACTACCAACAGGCAACCGGCGAGTCTTGTTGAAAGTGTGGTACGAAGTGAGCAAATGAGGCGATAGACATACGCGTATTAGTCTGGAGTTCAGTTAAAGTGTGTGTGTTGTATTGGCAGTGTAGTAGTGAAGTAATGTTGAGTTTAATTGTACAGTGCGGTCAACTATTATCGAACCCACAGGAAAAACATAACAGTACTATTCTTAATTTCTCGAATTACTTGCAAACTTATATCATATGGAAGAGGAGGATAGGTGAAACACTTGAATGACCTATAAATAGTCAGATCTCTGAGGAACAAGTCCAGTTATCACCCGAAGACGATTGTGGATACTAACAATCGAAACGTCGTGAAGTAACTTGGTTTTGAATCTTTCAATTTTCATTTCGTGTTAATAGTTCTTTTTTTTTTGTTGTGGCTTGTATTTCATTTCATTGTAATTTCAGTTTTTTGTTTTGCTCAATATAATTGTTATTTTTCAACTAATCTTTTTAATTTTTTACAGATTCTCTCAGTGATTTCAAATCAATTTATATCATATTAGACAATGGAAGTCCGAACTAATGACAGGCACCATGAAACATTGTCAACCACCTTCAAACATAGGTATTATGAAACATGTTGGTCACATAAAGAATGTGAGCGATAATAAAAATGAAATTGGAGATACGAACAATATCTCAGATAAGTTATGGATTTGAAATCCATCAACGCTTAACCCGCAATATGTGTTTCGCTATACATTAGCTTCCTCAAGCGTTTTCATACTGACAAAATTATACTTAATTTGTGCTTTATATAAGAACAATTTGAATCATGTGACTTTCTACCTTGGTAATAACTAATAACTTTACCTAAGTTTGGGTAAAGGCTAATTTTTGAACATAAAAGTAAATATAAAAAGTATAAATATAAAAGTAATATAAAAGTAAATTTTCACCAGATCAGTAAATGAACATGTAATAAACTTACTACCAATTTACACATTTGAAAACGGATTCAGAAGAAAAAAAGAATTTAATTATATTTGGTCATTCAGAAGATTATCAGAATTCTAAATCTATTAATTTCCAAGCACTCCAAAAGATTGAGTCTGAAACCTTTCTCTTTCAAATGTAATTCTTCATAGACGTAGTTGAACTCATTCCTCTCTGTCAAAAGATAGTTGGCAAATCTGGAATTGGTTTCCACATTCAAGAAACTACTCCTATGACCTTTCAATCTTTGGGACAAGGTTCTCACCGTTTGGCCAATATAAAGAAACAGAAATATTTTTCTTGCAGTGTGGATACTTGTTGAGGCTCTCAGTCGAGTATATTTTTGTTTCAACATTATTTTTTCCTGGTTTCTTAAAAAAATGGATGTAGGTTGATCAAGTATTTGTGTGCGTGCTATGAGAAATAACAATAGGTCTATGTCTTCGCCAACGATAATTGTAGTATCATTTATTGATTTTTCAATTGCTGTTTCAACTATTAAGACGTCAGCATCATCACGTGATTGTCTTGTAAAAATACCAACTTTTTCTAAATTCTCAATGAGCATTTCAATTATTTTTTTTGTTAAATCGATTAGATAAAACTTAAATACCTACATTGATAAAAAGCAATAGAGTTGACGCCTTATATGTATACGGTATACAATACCCTATGTGAGTGAATTCTACTCGCTTTCTCAGCTCTCTAGTCCGAAACCGGTTGACTTTACAGAAAAATGCAAGAGACATTTTTTGTAGATAATCGTATGATGAATAATTCTTATAATGACCTTTATTGACCTCCGAGCCATAGGTCGCGAGATATTTGCGAAAAACTGATTTTCGTGACCTATTGACCCTTATAACTTTTTTAGACGGCACGATATCAATGTCGATTTTTCACATCTTCATTAAAACGCCATAATGCCGGTGTATACCAAAATTCAACTCAGTAGGAATTTTTCAGCAGATTAGGTTTAAAAAACCTAAAATTACTGGATTAATGTGCCACATTTGATAGAATCGCTTTTTATCTTCATAACATTATGCAATGGATTATTATTTCACTGCGTTCTATTGTTCTCTGATAAAAACGACTGTATTATTACCTTTATACTTTTTAATATTATAGGTTCGTTCCAACCTTGAGTCACAAACAGATTTCCAACTGTTTGTAAATCGTTGTCAACGCGCATGTCTGGTAAATATTGGTTTCTGATTAATTTGAAATTTCTGATTGGAACAGCTGATAGTTCAACTGAAGTTTGGCATGGAATTTCAACATAACCTTAAAAAATAATTTGGGAAAAAAGTTTTTGGCTTTCTACTACTCCATCTTGATACAAAAAAAGGGGATGAGGGAATCTTCCAAAGAAAGGAAGGAAGTAATCAATTTGAAAATAAATAAATAACTCTATACATGGATGTGTAGATCATGCAAAGAAGTAACTTTCAGACACAAACTGAAAGAATGTCCTCCTGAAACAGCTACTTTCATATAAACATTGAATTACACGAAAGAAAAAAAATCTTTCGAAACAAGTACTTCTATATGAACACTGAATTATACAGAAGATACTCTTCTCTACTCAGTTTGTATTTCAAACATTCCACAACGAATGTCACTCCTAAAAATATAACCCCTTCAATTCTTTAAAAATAAATCAAATCAAGTGTACTTCTGGAGAGTAAAAGAAGGTTGCAGTATTTTATATCTCTATTCTATTTACTAATCAACATTGAACTGGGAGGTCACCGCAATAATTAATTTGTGTAATTAAAGATGTTCATATTTTAGGTTCACTTAAAGAATTCTTAATTTTTCCTGCGCCAGCAAATACATAATTTATTTTATAACAATTTTTGCAGGTTATGTTGTTGTTTGTAAGTTGCATGAACATAAAACAGAAACAGTAATACGGAATACGCATGCGTCAGATTGATGGTTAGAAGATAATCCTCAAACCATTCTGATAGATTTCGAACAGGTTTGAATCTTGGATGGAACAGAAAACTGATAGTTTACTAATGGTTGGAAACTCACGTTGGAACGCAATCACAATACTGCGCAGAATCCTGACTGTCAGAAACTGTTTCTGACGCTGGTTGGAACGAACCTTATATGTTATCCATATCTGGAATACTTTTTTGCTAAATGCTAATTCTCTGAAAATATGTCATTAACGATGCAAGTTTCATATTCGGAAGTACTCATGCCATTCAAATTACTTTTTGATTGTTTGTAATAGTTATGTTATAGAGTTCCTGATGAAAATCATGGCCGTGATGAATGTTACTACGATAACACGGCGTGCTCTCAAATTGTTATGTTATGGTTTTTCGGAAATGAATGAAAAATCTATTAGCATATGAACCAGCAAGTACACGCAACACGTGTTTCGCTACACAATAGCTTCTTCAGGCGTGTTTATACTCCCGAGTATAGATACGCCTGAAGAAGCTATTGCATAGCGAAACATGTGTTGTGTTTTTGTGAAACTGTTTAGTGAAAATCTCACGATGAAGTGTTTGTTGAATAAATTACGGATTATCATCGAGTATATTCATCTTAACAACAACTGTCAATAAAATGATGAAAAATAAAAATTCGATACCAGAAAAAACTTAATTCAGAAACCTTTCATGAAAAAAATGTATAGGTATAATTCAAGTCAACGATATAGTGCAACTTACCATCCAACAGCTCCCATTTAATTATATAGCTAGGGAACTAACTAATTTCGTTATTCAAAATTTCTATGTTTTTACCACTTTTATCTGTAACTAAAGTTTCTACAGTTTCGTCCTACAAGGACATTTTCAAATGTGTATATTAAACTAAAAGTTTGAGGACATTTCTAAACTTATACATTAAACTTTTAGTTCAATATATAAGTTTGAAAATATCTTTGTATGACGAAACTGCGGTTACTTTAGTTACAAATAAAAGTGGTTAAAAACATAGAAAATTTTCATTTCTCATTTTTCATGACGATCTCCTACCACGTAGTAACGGCTACATCCATCAATTTATCAGTTTTTATACGGAACTTGAATTCTTTAAGATATAAAAAATTGGTAAAAAATTAACCAAAGGATCTGGATTTCGTACTTCCTTAAAAAAGTTACTGGCCAGTGGTGAAAATTTGTATAAGCCAACCAGTTTTCTTCACCCACAATACCCTACGGAAGAACGGGTGGTTTCAAGTGATTAAGGTCATTGTGAAGAATATGAAAATTTTCAAAAGATAAACCAATGAGTGTCAGATGAAATAGTTGATTTTTGACAAGAACTGTGTCTTCGGACTGATCTGAATTTATTTACACAAGCTATACAAAAATGTTGTGGAAAGGAATGTGTTGCAAATAAATTAAGGTATTCACAAAAGGTAAACCTTGAGCGTGAGATGCTTAACTACAAGCTGGACATTTATAGACAAGAAATACATAATCACAAAAGAAATAATACTTTTCTGAATCAAATTTATGTGTCAGAGTGGAACGTCTTTAGAAAATTGAATAATAAATTTATAATTGCAAATATTGTCCCCACACACCAAAACGGCAATTCTATTTTAGTCGCTCTTTTCACCAATCCTAATGGCATAATTAATAGATAAACTGTACAGATTAGTTAATGCCCGGATGATGCCAACTTTTTTGGTGATACACATCTAGAACAGGGGTGTAGTTTTGGTGTTTGAGATCAACATTTGCATTGCATTCAGTTTCAATTCCTCCTTTTAATAACAAATTACCTTTTGTTGCAGATTTCTGGAGCCTCAAACAATGAATCCACGAATCTTTCTAACGCGTCAACTGGCCATTGCATATGGTACGGAGAGTGCTTCAAAAAGGGCCTATACATGCAAAACTGCCCTTATTCTGGGCCAGCGAAACCTTTAAATAACACTTCTGCATTAGAAATATTGAAACGAAGATGTCCAGCATTGGCTTCAGAGCCGGTGTGTTGCAGCCCCAGCCAAATATTTAATTTCGATCACAATTTAGCAATAGCTGAAAGTTTGTTGAGCAGGTGTCCGGCTTGTTTCAACAATTTTCTCGAACAAATTTGTGAATTGAGCTGCTCACCCAAACAGTCGACTTTTATGAAGATAAACGCCACTGAAACGGATGAAGCTTCGAATACAACGTACATCACGGCTGTCGATATTTATTTGTCCAACCAATATCTGGAGAGCGCTTTCAATTCTTGCAAGCAAGTCAGTATGCCTCAATCTGGTATGAAAGCATTAGATATCATGTGCGGTGGTTGGGGTTCCACTAGATGCACACCTCTCAGATGGTTCACTTATTTGGGTAGCAACAGTACTCCTCAAGTGCCTTTCCAGATGAACTATTACAGTGGCGCCGGTCCAAATAATGATTTCGTACCTTTGAATCCGCCTACAGTATCCTGCAAAACGGCTTTGAATGTAAGTATTTTTATATTTTGATGATTTTTTAGGTTTATTTCTGGTAACATTTTGTGTAATATCAGATTCGATGTGCAACTCCTAAATTTTTTCCACTATTAATGTTTTAATAGTAGCCATTAAAAGTTCGTCAACATACGTGAGTGGGGCACTGTCTACTAGCCTCAAAAAAAGAACCCTGACAGCGGTTAATTGTGACTATTGAACAATAAACAATATTCGAAAGCACTACTTAAAAGTGAACTGAAACACTTGAGGCAATTGCCGTAGATAGCTTCCTACTATCATTGAACAGTTTAATTAGTATAAAGCACGTGATAGTAACTAAACATGTATTTATTATTAATAAACTCTGAATTAATGGGGAAAAGCCTTGTGGCTTTTTACTTCTTCGCCATTAAACAAAAAATGTGGTAACTTCCAAAGAAAGGAAGAACGAAAGGAAATAACTATAGCATTCGTTATGGAATTGAAACTTATATGATTCATAGAAATGCTACACAACATAATATATGAAAACTATTTGTAGCCCTCGTGTTTCAACCTCCTAGGAGGTGTAGATATTACCCTTAGAGTTTCAAATGGGAAGGGGGGGTCAAGTGGTACATCATTTTGATTGGCGTTCAATTTTGCTTCCAATGGTAACCTGACTTATTATTTTTTAATGAGCATTTTCCGAAAAATAGAGTTCTAAACTTACACATTTAATTAGAATTTCCCTGTTATTGTATTGAAGAGTAGGTGGCACCGTTCCAGCCCTTGAATGACAGGAATAAATAAATGTATTACGCGTGGGATTTTTTATTTGTTGAGTATTATTGTCCTTTTACAAAATTAAATTAAATTTGCGAGAAAGACATTTCAAACATTAAATATACTTACGCATATCTTATAAACTGTTCGAAATGTCGTCCATTTTGCTCTAATCAGTAATAAAATCTATTTTCGAACTCCCCTCTAAATTACGGAAAACTTCACTAGGAACTGACTGGCTGTAATTCGTCTTTTAAGTTCTTCAATATCAGAAGGTTGTGTTTTATAAACAACGGATTTAAGATGCCCCCAAAGAAAGACATGTGAAGATGTTAAATCCGGTGATCTCGCAGGCCATTCAACTGCTCTTTTTTTGCCAATCCATCTATCCGCAAATTTCGTTCAACCACTGAGGTGGAGCACCGTCCTGCTGGAAATGTAACAGATCCTCCTGCAAAAGTTCATTACCCTTTTACGTCCATTTGAGTTTCTAGCTCGTGAGTTATATAAGGATCAAAAGTCTCTTCAAGCATTACAAGGTATAGATTGCCAGTCAAGTTTTCTTCCAGAAATGATGGACCAATAATGACATTAATTTTTTGTGGGTGTTGTGTATGCCCTTCTTGAAAAATATTTGGGTTTTCGTCACTCCAATAGCGACAATTTTGTCTATTGACATTACCAATTAGAAAAGAACGCTCATCGCTGAAACAGATGTTTAACAGAGGATTAAGGATGGTATTGACTCGATGAGACATGATTTCATAAAACTATATTCTTCTGTCATAACCATCCTCGTGGAGCTCTTGAAGAATCTGCATTTCATAAGGATGAAATTAATAAATTTTCAATGCTTTTCTTACAGTTTCGCGTACCATTCCCGTCTGTTCTGATACAGATCTTAAGGAGCTCGTGGTCTCTGAAGCAAATGTTCCCAAAACAACAATTTGAGCTGCTTAATTCAGTATTTCAGGGTTATTTCTTTTTTTATTTGTCACTGAAACAGTTTCGTAAAACTTTTTCACCAAATCAAGCACATAACGCGGTGACTTACATTACAATTTGGATGTCTTTCGTTAAAATGACATGCCGCCTTTCGTGCACACTTTCCAACTTCTCCATATATTATAATCTTTTCAATTCTGTCTTAATGTAAACAACCGTTTTTACACTTTTATACACTTATTAAAGTTAATCACTAAACAGCCCAACAGGTACAACTGTATGCATAATTCTACCCCATCGTTCAAATTTGCAAACCAATTTTTTGCCTGAAAACAGGAACTTTTTACAGCAGAAGTAGCAAAAAAAGACGGCTATCTGTACACTTTCTGCGATGAGAATTAAAAGTTCAGCATTTTCTAATCCCAACTTTACTACCATCTACGTTTTACTATTAGACTACTTTTTGATTAATTGGAGCTAATGGCTAATGTTACCCCTAATAAAGGGTTGGAACGGTACCACTTAATATTCCTACCAGTTTTGGTGAAACCATGCATCTCGGTGTAGGCGTACTAATAATTATTACTTCTCACAGTTTAGCACGCTATTTTTCGGAAAATGCTCATTAAAAATAATAAGTCAGGGTAGGTACCATTGGAAGCAGAATTAAACGCCAATCAAAATGATGTGCCACTTGACCGCCCTTTCCATTCAAATTCTAAGGATAGCTTCTACCCCTCGTAGGGAATTGAACTACGAGGGCTACAATAAGTCCTTGAAAGTGTCCTTCTTGACAATAAAATTGACCTGTTTTTTAAATTACTCATATTGTTTACTGGATGGAAGATATTAAGGGTGGGAAGTTTTCAAATTGACATCCTGTATAACACTATCTTCCTTCATTTCGGGACAAGACATTTGTCTCATCACCTCATCAGCACCGCTTTGAATAACAGCAAGATAAAGCACTCATTTCTTTCATTACATTACGACTTCATATCACCGGAAAAGACAAGTCTGCTTTTGTTACGAATGACACATTAATGTTGTTAGTTGATTCACATATCTGAAATTTTACGTCAATACTATTTCCTTGTGTGGTATTGTTTTGAATGGTATCTATTCCAATTCAATAATTATTTTTGAAATACAAACTGAATAGAAAAAGTTGTTTTCGTGTAATTCAATGTTCATATGAAAGTAGTTGTTTCCAAAATACTTTTTCATTGGGTTCAAAGTACAAAGTTGTCTCCAAAGTGTTTCCTCTTCCAGTTTGTTTCTGAAAGGAACTTCTTTGCATATCTTTACAGAGGATATATGCAGGGTGTTCTAAAATGTAGTAAGCAAGCGATATGACGTTATTTGTAAAGCGTCAGAATACCCTTCCGAGATCATTAAGAAACCACACCCAACTTTGTTTTTTTAAATGGTACCCCAAGAAAACTTCCACTTACTGGGAAGCTCTTGCTTTTAAACCAGTGTTACAGGAACTACCGTTGTGGTTGTTTAGTCGACGTTAATCTCCTCTCTAATCTAAAAACCCCCAGCACAGAACGTGTACTTCTGGTACATATGACTCTGAGCGGAATCAGATGGGCTAAGTCAACTGTCAAAATTGACAGATGGGAATCAGGGAGTGGTTAATGCTCCGCCTGCGAGTGACAACATTTCAGTTCGCGAAAGCTTTCCACCTCTGCCCGATGCGTCTAACAGAAAAGTAGATGATTGGATCAAGAAAGAAATGCCTAAGAAGGCCAAAAAGCTACAAAGGAAAGATATTTTAAGACAGCGATAGAGACGAAGCTAAACATTACTATTCAGAATCAGAAGTTTCGTCACGTCCGGTGAACCGAAATCGGGTTCGCGAGGTGGCCACACCTTCCAAGAATGATGATATGGACAATTATCCAATTATGCAAACCGACAGTGTTTCTGAGAACTTCGAGCACACTGTCAGAACCATCAGTCGAACACTTCCCGTCAAGGTATATGTAGAAAAGAGCCATTAATCTCCCTTCGATGTTCCAGGTTACCATATAAGTTAGTAGTTAGCCCAATAATAATAATATCGAGCAAATATCGAGCATTTTTCGAGCAAATTAATCAGGTACAATTTAATTGGTGTTTGAAGACAAGGCAAAGTTCAATATGCATGAAGACTTGTCATGAAATAAAAATTCTGGAGCCCTAAATAGTTCATAATGTTTCAAATTTCTGAGGAGCTCACTTTACTATTCGAGAAAATGAATATCAGATGAAATATGAGGAACCCTAACCAGTCAGTACTACTTCATACTATACCTAATTAATGTGTCCCCAAATATTCATAAGATGCGTTGTTGAACTTACGTTGTATAATGGATGGGGGCATCATCACACTGGTATCACATTATCTTGGTGATAAGGAAGCGTAGGTATTTTTACACGCTTTATATTAACTTCACCTGTATGTATGTATGTTTGTTTGTTTGCTTGTAACTCTCAAGCTCGGGATCTGTATTTGACAGAATTATCGACATTATTGCTTGCTCTATTCGCGGACAGATGACGCTGTACGTAACCTCCTTGATATATCGACATTATTGCTTGATCTATTCGCGAACAGATGGCGCTGACCGTAACCCCATTGATATAATTCGAATTCACTTTTCATGTATTTCTTCAGTTGAAAAAAAAAACACGCGCACCTGCTGTCTCATTTGTAACCCTCCTTTGCGCGCCTGCTGCCTTCCTTGGGCTTGGTAGCTGATTTTCAGGCTCCCTCTCCGGAATCGGAAAATATCAATGGTCATTTTTCTAAATAATAATACGGCTGATTGATCCCAAAGTTTAGATAAAATGAATATAGTTTCAAAAAGACTAAAAACCACGCTTTCATAGCATACGAAACTAAAAAATGAAAAATAAATATAGTTTAAAAAACTAAAGGAAGTTAAAAAATTTTTTTTAATCAGCTTAAAACAATAATGAACGAAAAATACTAGTATTATTGTGAAACAAGCGTGGGCGTTTTGTGCCATATTTTTTGTATATCAAGCGCCCACGCTTTTTTCACAATAATACTAGTATTTTTCGTTCGTTACTGTTTCAAGCTTATTTTTAAAAAAATTATTTTCAACTTTTTAGTTTGATGTTCTTCAAAAGCGAGTTTCTTAGTTTTTTAAACAATATTTATTTCAATTTAAATTACCTCTGAAAAATGAGAACAATTACGCTGCTTAGCAAATTTGTTTTGATGAAAATTTGTTCTCTGCATTCTTTTTCTTGAGCGTACCATCTACAATTTTCAGAACTAACAACGT